TCTCTACTTAAAAAAACACTTATAACATGTAAAAAATGTTTTTTTTTTTTATATTCCTTACTTAAAAAGTCAATGTACAACATGATCCATAAACACCTCATTTTATTTCAGCATTAAATTCTGTTTAAAGTAACAGATTATAATTAAAAATGTCTCCTGATCTTTACTGGTTGATGATTTTCTTTATTCAGACCCGCTGATTTTTAATTGGTTACCTTTGCTATAAAGCCTGGAACTCAACGCTATTTCCGACATATAGAACATAAAAATCTTCCTGGATGGGAAGCCAAACGTCTTCAAACTTGGACACAAAGGCCAGTGGATTGTTTTTAACCTTTTTGATTTCATCTCATTTATTCCTTGTTTTATTTCTGTAAAACTTTGAACACACAGAAAAAGCATCAATCAATCAAAAATAACAAAAACTACTGTGTGGAATTTATTATTGTCTGTATAAAGTGTTTCTTAGGCCGTAGTTAATGAGCTTTGAAAGTTTACAAAACTAAATACTGAATTAAATTCATATTTTAATGAAGGTAATTATGTGTCTTAATGAGGCGTTCAGTGACCAAAACGTATTGTTTTCACAGTGCAGCATCCTGGCTCATTAAACAGGAATTTGTTTTACATTTATTAGGGTGCCATAAACACATCATCTTCACCGTTTTATATATACAGTATATATATATATATATATATATATATATATATATATATATATATATATATATAATTTTTATTTATTTATTTTTTCCCTTTTTTCTTTTTTTTTGTTGTGAAAATTGTGCTGAATAAAGTTTGTTTTCAGGTTCTGTCCTCCCAGCAGATCCAATCGTGGTGACGTCAGCCCCCTACCCCGAGTTCCCCTTCATCACGCAGACCCCGCCCACCGGAGGCGGGCCTCTCTTACACATGCACGTACACGCGCGCAGTAACTGTCAGTAGTAAAGCTGCCGCTTACCTGCAGGCTACACGCGCGCGCGCGCACGCATGAGTGCTTTAGGGTGAAAAAAGATCCACACGCAGAGCTCAACGCGCATGCGTGTGTGTGGTCTTCCACCTTTCAATGCTTTCGCATTTTTTTACCTGCAGTGGACAATTACGCACAGGCAGACGCGCACGCTGGCGCATGCTCGCCGCAGCAGCAGCGCGCGGCAGCAGAGGGAAGAGAGGAGACAAGCGCATCCGCACCGCACGCGGCAGGAATTATGAAGGTAAGGAGCTGCTTTGCTTTCTGTTTATTTCTTGTCTGTTTATCTGCTGCTTGTGCGGCGCGAGGCGCCGGGACGCGCGCGCCTGGGGACGTTTTTTACTGGTGTCCGTGCACGAGGAAACGGCTCTGTCAGCAGTTTTCCAGCCGACACATGCAGCACGCAGCCCGGGCTGAGGGGGCAGCGGAGGGTCGGTCACCTCCTCCATCAGAAACACCGTGCACGCGCGCGTGCTTCTTTGGAAAGACAGCAGCGTGAAAAACACGGGCGCGTGCGCATGTTTCCATGGTGTCCATCCAGCAGCTGGATGTTCTGCTCTTTGTCTGCTGTAAGATGAATGTATGGGAGCAGGAGTGAGGAGGAGGAGGAGGTCACAGGGAGGAGAGGAGGAGGAGGAGGAGGAGGAGGGGGTCACAGGAGGAGAGGAGGAGGAGCGTTCAGGTGTGTCACGATTCTTCCTGGTTCTGTGCCCGCCTCATAAAGAGGCAGAAAGGTAAGCACACCTGAGCTTCATCACATGACTGGGAGGAAGACCTCACAGGCTGTCCATGAGGTCATCAACCACCTGCTCAGGTAACCCATAGCAACCAGATCACCTGATCAGATTCCTGACGGCTCATTGAAGATCAACCGAGTAGTCTGAGTAGAGGAGATCCATGATTCTCCTTCTGGTCGGACGCCATAACTTTGACCTGAGACACTGGGACAGACTGGGATACTGACTGGGATACTGACTGGGATGTTTCAGGCCGCCGGAGGACTTCCTGTCCCGGAACCTTAAAACCAGGACAGACCTTCAGAGAGAAGAGCTCCACAAGAGAAGCTGAAAGGTGTTGATGGCTCCGCTGAGTCAGCGCTTCTCCACTGCAGTCTATGGTGGAAAGGTTTCCTTGTCCATACTGGGAGGTTCCCAGTACACAGTGGGAGGTGTTCCCAGGTGTTCCCCTGATTCACCTTCTAGTTCTGGTCTTTATATGAGACTTTGGTCCCATCTGAACTCGGGGATGTTTCCTTATTTTGTTCTGGGCTGTACTTTGGTCGCGCCCTGAAGTTGACATCCAGACCAGCTCACTGGTTCACTATCGTAATGCAGCGTTCGGGGCTGCGTGGAGAAAGGGGAACATTTTCACAGTCTTCCCAAGGATCCCTGCAAAGTTTGATGCTCAGCTGTTCATTTGCTCGAAGCATTTTACCAAAGACAGCTTTCAAAATGTTGGACAGTTCAAAGCAGGATTTGCTAAACTTCTTTTACTGAAACGAGGAGCTGTTCCCACCATAAGGCCGTCGCAACCGCAGGCTGGAAGGATGACTCTGTAGATGGCAATGGTAGCGTATCTATGGCGACCGCATTTGGGTTTCTGAAAAGAGAGACACTTTTTTGAGGGGGGGCTACTGGGCCGCTGACTGGACTGATCATTGGAACCGACCAAAAGGAAAATTGGTCACAAAGTTTGCCGCTGGCCGCTTCTTCCGGATCAAACCAAGAGCCTTGGCAGACGGGGGTGCTGCACTAGCTGCGATCGGCTCAGTTAATTCACCCGATCTGATCAGATGGAAAAACTCTAATGCTGTCTGTTAGTAGTTAAGCAATGTTTTGTAATCAGATCTATTTACCAAGAAAAACTCCTCATTTATCCTGGAACAAAGCTACGCCCAACTGTTGTGTCATGTGACCAAATCAGCTCATTTCATTGGCTAGAAGCTGCTCGTCTACATCAAGCGTAGATTGCTTTGGCTTTAGTTCACCAAAAGGTAAAAATATTTACAGCTGAATTTCTTTAGCAAATTTTTCACAGATATAAATTCATTGTAAGGAATTCAATGTTTAAAGAAAATTCAGTGTTTAAAATACGGCGTTAAATAAAAAGGGAGATTATAATGAGACTATTTTTCTTCCATAGGTTTCTCATATTGATGAGTTTCTGCCGTCATCTGATTATTTCTGGTTTTATGTGTTTCTGGACGACTCTATAGATTTATAAAGACTTTTATTGGATCCTTTTAAAGGTTCTGCTTCATAGAGAATTCTCAGTTTTTTTTCCACCTTCAGGTAATCTATGAAGAAAAGATGAGCAGAGCTTTTAATAACATCGTCACTCAGTCTATGTGATTTATATCTAGCTCAAATGAATTTCTAATAGTTTTTCAGAAACAGACGTTTCAGATTCAGAGAATTAATCAGAAATGTTTTTAAACCTGGTAGTGAATAAGTTGAATAAGTCTTGAAACACTTTACTGACATTAATTTGATATGTTAATATCTGATCATCATGTTTACTCTATAAATTTTCCACATGGGGTCGGGTTCTAAAAACAAACGTTCTGGATTCCCTAAATTTGGATTTCTCATTTCTTTAGAGGACATCTGGAAGAGGTGGATGCATCTTAGGAAATCCAGCTGCTTGTGCTGAATTTACTCCTCCTGAATGAGCATACAGCAGCTGCTAACTGTCGCTTCCATTGTGTTGCTGACTTTGCAGCAATACCTCACATTTAGCATACATTTAGGGAGAGTGGGAAAGAAAGACCAAAAGATAAAAGAGAGCAGGACACTTGCAATAAAAGCTGAACCCGTATCGTCTAGAAGATAAACCAGACCAGACACAGAGGAAAAGGGCAACTCTGTCATCTATAAAATCAAGTTGTTGACAGCATCAGCCCAGCTGATACCTGCTTCTTAGACGGTACAACAGCAAGGAAGGCCAGATAGAGCAACTATGATTAGAAATAACATCCAGTTCAAAGCTGAACTAACAAAAAATTCAAACCAGAGTAGTAGAAGAATGTGAGGGATTGATGTCGAATAAACAACAATAATTATTTTCTCTACCTGCTTTTCCAGGATGAGAGAATCCTGCAAAATAACGACTGGATGCCATCGACTGATTTACGGTAGATGGATTTAGATTGGTGCTAAAGAAATAAAAACAATTGAATTGAAATGAATGTAGCAGAGTGAGCAAGAGTTTTATGTCCTCCAGCAGTCTAAGCCTACAGCAGCAGAACTATAGAGATAGATCAGGATAACCTGAGCCACTCTAACTAGAAGCTTTATCAAAAAGGAAAGTTTTAAGCCTAGCCTTAAAAGTAGACAGGATAGACCTGCAGATTGAGAGCGAAGTGCTCTGTTAGGAACATAAGGAACAATCAGATCTCTGATATCAGATGGAGCTTGGCCATTTAAGGCTTTATATGTGAGAAGGAGGATTTTAAATTCTATTCTGGAGCCAACGAAGGGGAACTCTAATAGGAGAAATATCATCTCTTTTTCTTAAGTCTTCAGGCATGCCGCTATTCTATGTAATGTAAATCCCAATGAAACTAACCATTAATTAGACTACAGGTATGTCTTGAGGACATGAACACCTGGATGACTCTTAACTTTTTGCTTCAATTACTGCCTCCTTAAAAGCCTGTAATAGAGATATTTAATCATATCTAAAATGGAGATGGAAATCAGAGGTAATATCTTCTTATACAGAGACAAAAACAAGTATTTTAATATCCTGCTATTTTGCAAGTTCTCCTACGTAGAAATCACAGAGGGTCTGAAATTGTTATCGTGCATGTCCACTGTGGGTGACAGAATCTAAAAAAAACATCCAGAAATCACAATATATGATTTTCTAACTATTTCTTTGTGTGATTCAGCTGCAAATAAGTATTTGACCACCCGTCTATCAGCTAGAATTCTGACCCTCAAAGACCTGTTAGTCTGCCTTCATAATGTCGAACTCCATTTATTATCTTAAATTAGATGCTCCTGTTTGAGGTCGTTAGCTGCATAAAGACACCTGTCCACCCCAGACAATCAGTAAGGATCGAACTACTAACATGGCCGAGACCAAAGAGCTGTCCAAAGAAATTAGAGACAGAGTTGTAGACCCCCACAAGCCTGGAAAGTTCTACGGAAAAACTGCCAAGCAGCTTTGTGAGAAAAAGGTCCACTGTCGGAGCAATCATTAGAAAATGAAAGAAGCTAAACATGACGGTCAATCTCCCTCAGACTGGAGCTCCATGCAAGATCTCACCTGATGGGGTGAGAAATCAGCTTGTGGAGGAGTGGGCCAAAATCCCTCCTGCAGTGTGTTCAAACTACAGGAACCGTTTGACCTCTGGAACTGCAACCAAAATCTACTGTACCAAATATTAACATTGATTTTCTCAGGTGTTCAGATACGTATTTGCAGCTGTATCATACAAATGAATAGTTATAAAAGCAAATATTTAAAAAATTTTTTTTTTTTTAAGATTACGTCTCTCACAGTGGACATGCACCTATGATGACAATTTCAGACCCATCCATGATTTCTAAGACAGAGAACTTGCAGAATAGCAGGGTGTTCAAGTACGTATTTTCCTCTCTTTATAACCTGGTTGGAACTGGATTAAACATACAAGTTGAAGGTTTAGATCGAGATCATTATGATCAAAATTGGATGA